CCCCAAGGTGTCCCCATAGCCCTCGGTGTGCCCTCAGTGTCCCCAGGATGTCCCCATAGCCCTCGGTGTCCCCTCAGGGTCCCCAAGGTGTCCCCATAGCCCTCCATGTCTCCTCGGTGTCCCCATAGCCCTCGGTGTCCCCACGGTCTTCAGGACCCCCCAGGGTGTCCCCTTGGTGTCCTTAGGGTCCCCTCGGTGTCCCCAAGGTGTCCCCATGGCCCTTGGTGTCCCCTCAGGGCCCTGTGCCACCCACGGTGCCACCACGTCCCTCACGGTGCCACCACGTCCCCCGCGATGCCACCGTGGTTCCTCCGTCCCCCGTGATGTCCTCACGGTGTCCCCCCTTCCCACGTGGTGTCACCGTGTCCCCCAGGACATCCTGATGTCCCCTCCGATGTCCCCACCGCCCTGGTGGCCCTCCCTTTGTCACCACCGTGTCCTCCCCCTCCGCAGGTGACAACGTGGGACGAGTACCGCGAGGAGGGGACCTTCCCCGGCAAGATCTGAGTGTCACCCGCTGCCACCGGGGTTGGGGACATCCGTGTCACCGCAGGGGGCAGGGGGCGTCGCTGAGGTGACATGGCCACCCCTGGGGAGGGGACACCCGGCTGTCACTTGGGTTGGGGAGGGGACACCGGTGTCACCCGGGGTGGTGGCACTGCCAATAAAGGGTTGAACTGGTCCAGGGTGTGGCTTTTGGGGGGGCGGATGTCCCCAGGGTGGGTGGTGGTGTCCCCTAGGTGGGGATGAGGATGTCCCCAAGGGGGGGGTTGTGGTGTCCCCAAAGTAGGTGGGTGTCCCCAGGGGTGTGGCAGATGTCCCCAGGGTGGATGGTGGTGTCCCCAGGGTGGATGGTGGTGTCCCCAGGGTGGATGGTGGTGTCCCCAGGGTGGGTGGTGGTGTCCCCAAGGTGGGGATGAGGATGTCCCCAAGGTGGGGATGGTGTCCCCAAGGGGGTGAGGATGTCCCCAAGGGGGGGGGTGTGGTGTCCCCAAAGTAGGTGGGATGTCCCCAAGGTGGGTGGCAGATGTCCCCAAGGGGGGTGGTATGTCCCCAAGGTGTGGACAGTGTCCCCAAGAGGGGAGGAGGTGTCCCCAAGAGGGGAGGAGGTGTCCCCAAGAGGGGAGGAGGTGTCCCCAAGAGGGGAGGAGGTGTCCCCAAGAGGGGAGGAGGTGTCCCCAAGGGAGTGGTGGTGGTGGTGTCCCCAAGGTGGGGCTGGGGATGTCCCCAAGCCCCCCTTCCCCCCCTACTTTGGGGACATTACGGCCCCAAAGGGACACGCGGGAGTGGGGGGAGGCCGAGGGGTGGCAGCGTCAGGACGTGACCCACGATGTCCCCAGGGGCCACCAAGGGGGGGCCGAGGCCTCGCGGTGGCAGCGCTCCCAGCAGCCCACCTGGGGAGGGGGACACCACCATCAGGGGCTTCTCTGGGCCACTGGGCCACCATCCCACCTAGCCACCATCTCCTGTCGTGACCCACGATGTCCCCAGGGGCCACCAAGGGGGGGCCGAGGCCTCGCGGTGGCAGCGCTCCCAGCAGCCCACCTGGGGAGGGGGACACCACCATCAGGGGCTTCTCTGGGCCACTGGGCCACCATCCCACCTAGCCACCATCTCCTGTCCCTTCTCCATCCAACCTTCTCCATCCAACCTTCTCCATCCAACCTTCTCCATCCAACCTTCTCCATCCAACCTTCTCCATCCTTCTTCATCTTCAATGGTTTCTCCATCTCCACCCATCCATCTTCTAACGGTTTCTCCATCCGCCCATTTGTCCATCTCCATCCATACATCTCTCCATTCGTCCATCTCCATCCATCCATCTTAGTGGTTTCTCCACCCATCTCCACCGGTTTCTCCGTCCCCCCATCCATCCATCTTCAATGTCCATCTTCATCCATCTTCATTTGTCCATCTCCATCCATACATCTCTCCATTCGTCCATCTCCATCCATCCATCTTAGTGGTTTCTCCACCCATCTCCACCGGTTTCTCCGTCCCCCCATCCATCCATCTTCAATGGTTTCTTAATCCATCTCCAATGGTTTCTTCATCCATCCATCTGTCCATCTCCCCATCCATCTCTCCGTCCATGCATCTTCAGTGGTTTCTCCATCCCATCTCCATCCATCCATCCCCATCTGTCCATCTTCAATGGTTTCTCCACCCACCCATCCCTCCACCTATTCATCTTCAGTGGTTTCTCCATCTCTCCTTCCATCCGTCTCCATCCATCTTCAGTGGCTTCTCCATCTCTCCATCCATCCATCTCTCCATCCATCTTCAGTGGCTTCTCCATCTCTCCATCCATCCATCTCTCCATCCATCTTCAGTGGCTTTTCCACCCCCCCCCCCCCTCCCCCCCCCCCCCCCCCCCCCACCTCTCCATCCATCCATCTCTCCATCCATCTTCAGTGGCTTCTCCATCTCTCCATCCATCCATCTCTCCTTCCATCCGTCTCCATCCATCTTCAGTGGCTCATCCACCTCTCCATCCATCCACCTCTCCATCCATCCACCTCTCCTTCAACCGTTTCTCCACCCACCCACCCGTCCATCTCTATCCCCTCTTGGCGACTCTCTCCTCCTCCTCCACCCCTTCAGTGCTTTCTCCGTCCACGTTTCCATCGCTGGATGGATGGAGAAACCACTGACGTTCACGTGGTTGGGCTGCCCGTCTCTTCCCACTTCTTCAATGGATGGAGAAGCCATTGAAGACCACTTTGGATGGTTTCTCCATCCATCCCTCCATCTTCAGTGCCTTCTCCACCCGTATCTCCATGGACGGATGGAGAAACCATGGAAGAACTTCCTCGATTTGTTCATCTAATCGTTCTTCGGTGGTTCCGCTCACCCAACTGTCCATCTGTCCTTCATCTCCTCACTCTTCCACCCATCTGCTCACCCTTCCACCCATCTCCCCACCCTTCCCTTCCTCCTCCATTCATGGTTTCTCCATCCCTGTTGCGTTCTTTCACCTGGAGGTCCCTCCCCATCTCCTGTCCCCATGGTGGCCCCTCACCTGTAAGGAGGTCCCGTGGCAGCAGCTTCCGGTGGGGGACACAGGTGTCACCAGGGCGGCACTGAGAGTCATCGGGGCACCACGGAGCTGTGGGGGGGGGGACATGGGGACACGTGACACACGGTGGGACATGGTGGAGGGACGAGTAGAGAGGTCGTGGGTGGACAGAGAGGTGGAGACCATCAGAGATGCGTTGGGGACATCAGGGATGTGGCACAGGTGGACAGACACGTAGGGGACACCGGGACCACGTAGGGATGTCACCGGTGGCCACAGAGGTGGAGAACATCATGGAAGGCCACGCAGGGATGTCACGGTTGAAGAGAAAGAGAGAGGGGACACCACCGGTGGACACGTAGGGAGGTCACAGGTGGACAAGGAGGTGGAGGACATCATGGAGACGTGATGATGTCATGGATGGACACATAAAGGTCACGATGGACACGTGGGAATGTCATAGATGGACAGAGCCGTGGAGGACGTCATGGAGACACAGGTAGAAGATGTGGGGGATGTGTAGGGATGTCACGGGTGGACACCTGGAGGTCATCGTGGGCGTGTGGTGATGTCACGGGTGGACGCACGCGATGGTGACACCACAGAGGGACATGTAGAGACATTAAGGAGGGGGACACAGGGATGTCACGGGGGGAGAACGTCATGGATGGACACGCAGAGGTTATCGTGGACAGAGGGATGTCATGGGTGGACAGAGAGCTGGAGAACATCAGGGATGGACATACAGAGGTCACGGTGGACACGGGGGTGTCATGGGAGGACAGAGCTGGAGAACGTCATGGAAGGACAAAGGACAAAGAGGTGGAGAACATCAGGGATGGACACACAGAGGTCATCGTGGCCAGGGATGTCATGGATGGACAGAGATCTGGAGAACGTCAGAGGTGGACAGAGAGCTGGAGAATATCGGGGAGGGACACAGAGGTCATGGTGGACACACAGGGAGTCATGGATGGACAGAGAGCTGGAGAACATCAGGGATGGACACAGAGGTCATGGTGGACACATGAGGATGTCATGGAAGGACAGAGATCTGGAGAACATCATGGATGAACACAGAAGTCATGGGATGTCATGGATGGACAAAGAGCTGGAGAACATGATGGATGGACACAGAGGTCATCATGGACATGGATGTCGTGGATGGACAGAGCTGGAGGACATCAGGGATGGACACACAGAGGTCATGGTGGACACATAGGGGTGTCATGGATGGACAGAGCTGGAGAGCATCATGGATGGACACAGAGGTCATCACGGACATGGATGTCACGGATGGACAGAGCTGGAGAACATCAAAGATGGCCATCACGGATGGCCACGCAGGAGCCCCACAAGTAGAACCCAGCCCCACCTCCACCTCCCACCCCGTGTCCTCGCCGTCCCCAACTCACGGCAGACGTTGGGGATGCTCCAAGGTGCCACCCTCACCCCGGCTTGGTGGCAGGCGGCCTCATAGGCCCCCAGGACCTCCTTGAGGACCTCTTTGTCCCCAGGGGTCTCGCAGAGCTCCCGCAGACAGACATCGTAGAAGATACCGGGGTGGACCACAGCGTGACAGTCCCCAAATGGACCTCTGGGGGTCCGGAGAAGACCACAGAGTTGGGTGTGGACGAAGGCCTTCTTGGGAGGTTGGTGACATGGGGGACAGGTGGGACCGGGACAGGGACGATGACAAGTGGTGGTGGCCTTGGTGGTGGCTTCCATGGTGGTGGCTTGGTGGAGGTGGTCATTGTAGGGGTGACCATCGAAGTTGCCGCAGAGGCCGCAGGTGACGTTGCGGTAGCGTGGGGACACGGTGACGGCCACCGCGACCCCG